AATTAAGAACAAAAAATATTTGTTCAAATTGGTCACCTACTCCGTTTGCCAAACCTGATTCCATCTGTTTTTTGGTTTTTTCCCATGATTAAATTCTCCCTTAAAAGATCAAGGAGCACCTCATATTATTTTATTACTTTTGGTCCTTCATTTGAGGGATAAGTTCACACTTTTGAAAAGTATTCAGCACATTGTTGTGTCTGAAGTTTTATGGACAACAAAAGATATTACACCAAAATTTAACATAAACATCAAATTTCCTGGCCATGATATACTATTTGTATCCTTCTGTTCTGTCTACCTTTCCTGTTGTCTAGTCTCTGCTTTCTGTGTTGTTTTTTTTCCAAAACCACTAAAAGTGATGAGAGAAGAGTTTTCCTTATCACATCATTTGTTTTTGTTCATATTTTCTTTGTTGTCTAGATTTCTGGTTAGAAATTGCAGTTGTTAGAATTAGCCTACCAAAGATGTCATCTGAAAATTTTTTACTTCCCTTTTTAGTTATCTAATAAGGTAAAAATCTATTTTTTTGTGTGTGTTTATTTTATTGAAGTATAGTTGACTTACAATGTTAATTTCTGCTGTACAGCAAAGTGACTCAGTTATACATACATATATATTTTTATATTCTTTTCCATTATAATTTATCATAGGATATTGAATATTGTTCCCTGTACGATACAGTAGGACCTTGTTGTTTACTCATCCTATATATAATAGTTTGCATCTGCTAATCCCAAACTCCTAAGCCATCTCTTCCTCAGCCCCCTCACAATTGGCAACCACAAGTCTGTTCTTTATGTCTGTGAGTCTGTTTCTGTTTTGTAGATAAGTTCATTTGTGTCATATGTTAGATTCCACATATAAGTGATATCATACGGTATTTGTCTTTCTCTTTCTGACTTTGCTTAGTATGATAATCTCTAGGTCCATCCATGTTGCTGCAAATGGCATTATTTCATTCTTTTTATGGCTGAGTTGCATATATATATATAACATCTTCCATTGCATATATATATATATATATAACATCTTCTTTATCCATTCATCTGTTGATGGACGTTTAGGTTGTTTCCATGTCTTGGCTATTGTGAATAGTGCTGCTATGAACATAGGGGTGCATGTATCTTTTTGAATTATAGTTTTGTCTGGATACATGCCCATGAGTGGGATTGCTGGATCATACGATAACTCTACTTTTAGTTTTTTGAGGAACCTCCAGACTGTTTCCCATAGTGGCTGCCCCAATTTACATTCCCACCAACAGTGGGAGGGTTCCCTTTTCTCTGCACCTTCGCCAGCATTTGTTATTTGTATACTTTTTGACGATGGCCATTCTGAATGGTATGAGGTGGTGCCTCATTGTAGTTTTGATTTGCATTTCTCTAATAATTAGCAATGTTGATCATCTTTTCATGTGCCTATTGGCCATCTGTATGTCTTCTTTGAAGAAATGTCTTGATCTTCTGCCCAGTTTTCAGTTGGGTTGTTTGGTTTTTTATTACTGAGTTGTGTGAGCTGTTTGTATATTGGAAATTAAGCCCTTGTCAGTTGCATCATTTGCAAATATTTTCTCCCAGCCAGTAGGTTGTCTTTTCATTTTGTTTACGGTTTCCTTTGCAGTACAAAAGTTTGTAAGTTTGATCAGGTCCCATTATTTTTGCTTTTATTTCTGTTGCCTTGGGAGACTGACTATAGAGTCAAATCTTGATTAACGAACGCCCTGGCAGTCCCTTTTGTGTGAATGCAGCCACATTAAAAAAAAATTATCTTCGTGAATCATGCACAAGAGCTATGAATCCATTCGCCAACCACAGACCCCTCCTAACTGGAGGTTAAACTCAAGTGCAGGCCAAGGACTGTCCCCTTCAGCCAAGACCTTACTTCCTCCTTCCTCATGTGACTGCTTTCTCTTTATAAATGAAGCACTATCCCTCTTTTCACTCCTCTCTTCCTTTCCAAATAAGACGTGTAGGTCATTTTTGTTATTTGAAAAGTTATCACCACTGTGCCTTTTCACTTAATATCTAGTTATGAAAGGAACATCTTTTTCCTACTCAGTTTAGGAAATTTTAGCACTCATTGAATGAGGGGCGAGACAGGAGGGAAGAGGGTTACTCAAGGGGCCTGCACTTGGAGCCGAGAACTTCTCCTGACCCCCAGAGGGAGGTCCAAGTAGGAGGGCACTCAGGGGCCCTCTCCCTTCCGGCTCACCTCATTATTTTTCCTCTTATTTCTGCTAACTCTGGTGGCAAGCTCACCTCCAGGGACACGTTCTTTTTTCCTGCCTGAAGTGTGGGGAAAATGTCTTGTCAGAGTTTGGTTGAAATAAAACTGGCCTTTGGAAGAAGCAGCATTTGCTAGGAGACTTAGGATGGGTGGGCCCCAAGGGGACTTTAGGGAGCCCATTCCTGTGATTTGGGGTCGTGACCTGGGGGTTCACGGCGTTGCCTCGAGGGGGAGGGAGCGCCAGGGTCCTGGGGCGCCGCGTGGGGAACCACCAGCTGGGTTCCAGGGCGCAGCTTCTCCCGGTGTCGCCCACGGGCGCCCACATCAGATCAGATTCTCCCAGTGCTGCTTCCGAGCGCGTCCTGGCAGTGGGGGCGGGTGCGGTGGGGGAACAGAGACACCTGACCCAGAACAGACACGCGGGGGCCCGGGAGCTGCGTTTTATCTCTTTCTCCGTGATTCCTCTGCTCCTGACTTTGAGCGACCGCTTGGGAGCCATGTGCGCGGCTGGGGTCTGGGGACGCAGGGACCACTCGCCCCCGTCGGACAGGGAAGCAGCGGGGCGGGGGAGCTCTGGCCTTGGTGGCGGGTCCCAGGCAGCAGGGTCCCCGTGGCGCCCCCAGGTTACTCTGTACAGGCCCTCTCCCCTCACCCTCAGGCCCATTTCCCCTTCCAAGAAAGTATGGAAAATTAAGATTTCTCTTTGAAACGAAGCTCAACTGTCGATCTGCTTCCGAAGAATTTCAGGAACCCCACCCGCCAACCCCAGGGCCCCCTCGGGGCATAGCCCCCGAACCCGGCGCTGGGCTCCGAGCTCCCCAGCCTCTGTGCCGCACGGGCCTCTCCCCTGACAGACGCCGGGCTTAAGTGCCCTTAGCCCGGTGTCCAGTCACTGCGAGGGCTCCCTGACCACTCTCTCTAGCTCTCCTTGTGTCTGCTGTGGGAATGGCTGGACTTGTTTTTGTGTAAAATTTAATATGTTTGTATTAGACTCAGCTTCCTGTGATACTTAGAAAAAACTGTTTCAAGAATAAAATAAGTAAGATAGTGAGAAAATTAAGATGCTTTGGTGATTTATAAACTTGTGAAGTAGATTTTTTTTAAATGTCACAAAACGCTTTAAAGAGCTCCAAGTAAATTTAAAAGGGGATCTACTGGATTTTTGCTAACTGCTAAAAAAAAAAAAGTTTTCCTTAATTTCTTGTCCAAATATTTCAACTTATATTAACTGGTAGTTATTTCAGAGGAAGATGGGAACTCTGCAATCCTTAGTTTGTTATAATGTGTTTGTATTCAGATGTTTGGAGAAAAGATTAAAGGCTTGGGAAGAAAGTAGTAGAAGTGGTAACAATGGATTGTCTTCTAAACTGTCATCATTTTCTGGAATTACTGACATTAGCAACTCAGCAGGCATTTTACATCCAAAAGGATTTATTTTGATCTGCCACGCTTTACTGTGAGCTGCAACAGTAACCTCATAGCTGCTGTACTCCATGATTTGTTTCCTTCTGTTGTTTAAAAACAGGGGTTCTTTCAACTGCATAAGAGATGAATTCTATCATTAGAACTTTTACCATCAGGCTCAAGAAATATATTTAAAACTCATTTCTTTCAGGAAGCAGGTTTCAAGATCTAAGTCTTTTATTAAGATAAGTCACGGCCTTTTCAGTTTCTCCAGAAATACTCTATTTTTAATTCCCGAGGAAAACCACAGTAATAAAAACAAATTAACCTAATAGGTTATTTTCTTTCTTATGGCACCTATTTTTATTAATAGAATTCCAGTTTACATATTTCTTACTATTTGTTTAGTTAAAGCAATCATTGGTAACATTTTACAGTATTTCATAAAGAACTTTTTTTTATATATAAATATGTCTGTTTATAAAATCATGGACTGATTTTTTTTTTAACATCTTATAGGAGTATAATTGCATTACTATAAAGAACTTTTAAAGTAAAACTTTTTGGACCTTTGCAGCAGCTCTGTGTGATCTTCTTAGTGATGTTGTTCTGCATTATCGAGCCCTTGTCCTTCCTAAGGGACATAGAGGGCAGAGCAATCAGATGTTACCCAGCGTCAGACAGCAGAGCCAGACTTGCTGCACAACCTCCCTCCCCATGACGTCCTCTTTTAACTGTTCCTCTGGTAAACTCAATACTGTTTTCCCTTGGAGCGTGTGTTTAAAAAGAAATCCTAGACGCGTTCAAACATTACTGCTTACTCTCTATTTTCTGCTTTTAAATGACTCATTCCCATGCTTGATGAAGCTCAGTTTTTTAAAAAACGCCCCAAGTATTCATTGCACAGACTTCCATGCCTGGGGAAACGCAATGTGGAAACTGAACCTGAGACCGTTTTAAATAAACATATGAGTTTTTATATGGTACTGCTTATTTAATTATTTAATGCTTCTGATTTATGTAATAGTGCCAGCCCCCTTTATGTAATGGAGCCAAGCTCAGCACCCTCACCTGAAAATGAAGGATATTTCTTTACTTTACTTCTGAATGTAAGACTCCGTTACTATAGGATAAAGTGTAGCCTAAAAATATAAATGTGCTGTATTCTATTCCATTCCACATCCTTTGATTCCAAGTTAAGAACCACTAGGTGAATTTGCCTCTAGCTCTAACATTCTGTTTTTAAATCAAATATAGGGTGACATTGTTGTATGTGGTATTTTTCTCTAATAAATCACCTGCTATAGGTGGATTGTAGTTAGCTTTCTAAATCTTTGTTTAAATTGTGTGTTTTCTCCCCCACCCAGAGTAAAAGAAGCTGAAGAGGTATGTAGGCAGAAAAAGGGAAAATCACTTTATAAAATAAAACCAAGACATGACTCTGGAATTGTAAGTATTTATTCTGTTTTTTTAACTTGTGATTTTCTTTGGCTTTTAAGCACTCTTTTCTCAATATATACAAATTCATCTAATAATATTTTAGTTATTTTCCTCTTAAGTTTGAACAAATAATGAGCTTCTGACTTAAAGAATCTCCTTTTCCTTCTGCCTTTAATCAGGCCCCAAAGGCTAAAAGAATCTCCACATTCAGCATTCAAAGACTAACAATTAAGATAAATCCACTGAGGGGGTGCACGTATGTGTGTGGGGTTGCTGGCAGAGTTGGGGGCCATCGTTCACTTTCCTCATCACACATGGGTCACAGCACAGCTGTTGTAATTGGATGAGGACCCTTGGGATCTAACACATGAAATGCCAGGTGCGGTGTTGTCCTTTGCTGGGACCAGGGCTCAGGCTCTGCGGAGTCGGCTGCCCAGCAGCTGTCAGCCCACAGCCCGAGTGTAACAAGCCAAGGTGTTCCCTCTTTGTCCGCTCTCCCCTTCAAAATAAAACGCTAAGTTGTGCCCCCAGAGAGGAAAGGGTGGTGGAAATGACGAGTTTTCCCTTGTGGTACTGTCAGTGTTTAGTTGAGTGTTCGAGGGGTTGTCATTTGACCCCACAGAGTAAGTAAATGATGATGTTTTAGGCCTTAAAATAGGAGCAGTTTGAATTGAGTTAGTCTCATATAGTCTAAATGGAAGATATTCAAATAACCCAAATTGGAATACCGTTAAACAGCTTTATTTAGAAAAAGTTAGAAATTATATCTTCATTTAAAAGATATTTTCCTTTCAGTTTCTCTGTATAAAAATCTTATGTAACAACAAGTATTATATTATGGTTTGGTTTATGTTCTGTCTTTTTGATGAAAGTACAATCTTAAAGTACATGTATAGAATGAGCAGGAAGTTATTTATTAACCACAATTATGGCATTATAAGGATAGAAGAGAGTTAAATCACATTAACCATGAGATGAAGCCTCGGTTCAATTTTCGTATTTATGTATTTGCACACATAAATATGAGAAAATGAGAAAGGTGAGCTGGTATTCTTTCATGTCGATTAGAAGCTAAATTTTCAAAACTTTTTTTTCTCAGAAACATTCAGTGATTTGTCTTAGTGAAAATTCTAAAAGATAAAACAGATTCTAGTTCTGTTTTATTCCTTCATCACCTTGTGTATCTTTAACCTTTTTTCAAGGAATTTGATCCAAATGAAAAGACCTTGTTTGGGCTATTCTAAATGCCATACATTTTTAAAGTTCTTCCTTCTAACTATAACTCTTCCCTGGTGCATTTATTTTCAGAAAGCGAAAATAAGCATGAAAACCTGAACAAAGAAAAGCAGAAAGAAAATGAGTCCCTGCAGCCACTTCCACAGAATTCAGCCGACCTGAGGACAGGAAGGAAACTCATCATTTTGATCACTTTTCTTCTTGGCCTCTTGCATAATCTTTGTGTTTTCCAGACAGTTCACTGATTGTTGAATTCTACTGTATATTAAAAAAAAAAAAAGAAAAAGCAGTAGGCCAGTGGAGAATGTGACACCTTTTCTTTTTGTAAAAGTTTATGGTATTTTACCGATAGACCAAAACAGCATGTGTAAGAGGCAGTATCTGCATTAATTCTGAACATGCTAAACAGTAACCTTCAATTTACTGATGTGCAAATAGCCCTGTCACAGTGAAACACGTTCCTTCCTACTGACGACCAGTACTCCACATCACTGCATTTAGAGTTATGGTTAAAATGTTATTTCTAGTGAATTGTTTGTATCAGTTTCACGTCTACATATAAATTTTCTATTTTGAAATTGAAGTACCATTTATATATGTCATAGTCAAGGCTTTCCCAGCTCTTGGGTTGGTCTCTGTAACTATATATTTGTGAAAGAAGATTTTCATTTTTTTACTCATCAGATAATGAATAGAAAAGAATATAGCAAAAGGAATACCCTTCCTATAAATCATTTAAAATAGGCAGGAATCAGAAATGAGGGTGTTTATCAACTATGTCCTTTGGGACCTTACATAAAGTCAATCTGCAGCAAAGGTCAATTAAACCAAAGTTGTGCCTCTGTACTTTTACCATTGCCCTTCACAAAGAAAATGACACAATACTTTTAAGGAATTTAAATAAATGATGCTCATAAAATTTTCAAACATGACTAACTGGTGGCAAAAAAAGAGTAACTTTAGATGGATTGACATCTACCTAGAACTTGTTACTTAAACCCAGCTGCCTGAGTATTGTGACCTGATTGGGGTTGTCTTTATGTGTTATGGCAGTTGATTAAAAACTATGAAATGAGTATGCAAGGATTTATGATCTAAAGGCACCTAGGAAAAGATTTTATTTTAGATTGAGAGGAAAAAAGTAAATCTTCCACTCTCTCTGAAAGTATTTTAAAGTCAGCTCCTGATGCGTTGTGATGGTTTTGTCTAACATTAATAGATATTTTAAAAAATTCTTTTAATGATATGTTTTGGGGTATAGCTGTGAATAAAGGGGAGAATGTGTTGCTAATGTAAACCAATTATGGAATCAAAAAGAAACTGAATCATAACTATGTTTGTATTTATGTAGAGTACGGTCCTTAGCTTTCAGTCTGTAGTCGACATGCACAGACACAGTAGTGGCTATCGGGTTGCTGTTCTGCTGTTCTCCTGTCTCCTTCGGCCCCTCCATGTGTACATGACTTTCTTCAATGATATAATAGGGCATTTAACAGAGATCGCTATGTGCAATACAGTATTTAGTGTTTCTATTTTAATTTTTCTAGGATGTTAATTTATATGAAAATAAAATGAATAATAAAAGAGTTCTGTGCCTATTGTGTATGTATCACCTAAAGATACTTGCAAAATACTTACCATGGGGGCGGAATTAAGTTAGATCGTCTATGTCTGAAGATCTTTTTAAATTATTATTGATTTTTAAAAAATAAATCTATTTTATTTATTTTTATTTTTGGCTGTGTTGGGTCTTCGTTGCTGCGCACGGGCTTTCTCTAGTTGCGGCGAGCGGGGCTACTCTTCGTTGTGGTGCACAGGCTTCTCATTGTGGTAGCTTCTCTTGTTGCAGAGCACGGGCTCTAGGCGCATGGGCTTCAGTAGTTGTGGCACATGGTCTCAGTAGTTGTGGCAGACATGACATGGGATATTCCCAGGCCAGGGCTCATGTTCCCTGCATTGGCAGGCGGATTCTTAACCACTACGCCACCAGGGAAGCCCCCTATTATTAATTTTTATTGGAGTATGGTTGCTTTACAATGTTGTATTAGCCTCCATTGCACACACAAAAAAATGAATCAGCCATACACATAAAGATATCCCCTCCCTTTTGGACTTCCCTCCCATTTAAGTTACCACAGTGCATTAGGTAGAGTTCCCTGTGCTATACAGTATGTTCCCATCAGTTGTCTATTTTATACATACTATCAATAATGTATATGTATCAATCCCAGTCTCCCAACTCTTCCCACCCCACCCCTTTCCCCCTTGGTATCCATGCATTTGTTCTCTACATCTGTGTCTCTATTTCTGCTTTGCAAATAAGATCATCTATACCATTTTTCTAGATTCTACATGTGTTATTATATGATATTTGCTTTTCTCTTTCTGACATATTTCACTCTGTATGACACTCTCTAGGTCCATCCGCGTCTCTGCAAATGACCCAAATTCATTCCTTTTTATGGCTGAGTAATATTCAATTGTATGTATATACTACATCTTCTTTATTCATTACTCTGTTGATGGACATTTAGGCTGCTTCCGTGACCTGGCTATTGTAAATAGTGCTGCTACGAACATTGGGGTGCATGTGTTTTTTTGAATTATGGTTTTCTCTGGGTATATGCCCAACATTGGGATTGTTGGGTCATATGGTAGTTCTATTTTAGTTTTTTAAGCAACCTCCACAGTTCTCCATAGTGTCTGTATCAATTTACATTTCCACCAACAGTACAGGAGGGTTCCCTTTTCTACACACCCTCTCCAGTATTTATTGTTTGTAGGTTTTTTGTTGATGGCCATACTGACTGGTGTGAGATGATACCTCATTGTAGTTTTGATTTGCATTTCTCTAATAATTAGTGATGTTGAGCATCTTTTCATGTGTTTGTTGGCCATCTGTATGTCTTCTTTGGAGAAATGTCTACTTAGGTCTTGAAGATCTTTAACGTTTCTTATTTCAGGCTTAACAGTTGTTAGTAGTAAAGTATTTAATGAATGTTGGTCTTTAGAGATAACATAATCATTGTGCTACATCAAAACATTTAAAAAATTTTTTCCTTATGCAATTTTAAGGAAGAAGTATTTCCCACTTATGGACACCAATGCATTAATATCTGAGAAGTCTTTTTTCTAAAAGTTAGAAATTATATGCAAAAATTCATCTGGTACAGATTAAGTGGTGATGGGTTATTGGAAGATGATAAGGCAGAGGACATTTTGGTACAAAGAGATGGATGTAGACAGGGAAGTAGAAGGAATAAAATAGAAGCATTATGCTAATAGAAAAGCATGAAAAGACTTTCTTCATAAATAATCTTTGCATTTAGGTCTGATCTAATTTTTCATCAATGGCTTGTCATCATTTTTCATCACTGGCTTGTTATCTCCTTTGTGCCAAGGCCTGGTGCTAACTAATAACCGACATTTTAAAAGGAGAATATGGAGGGAGGGTGAAATGGGTAAAATGCCAACTGTATGACGATGGACAGAATCTAAACTTTTGGCGGTGAGCAGGCTGTAGTGTGTACAGAAGTCGACATACAGAGTACACATGAGAGTTATGTAATATTATAAACCAGTGTTAGCACAATAAAAATTTAAAAAACTATAAAGGAAAAGAACCAAGTGTCAAGTTGGGGGAAAAACGTGTAAAGCAACAATTAAAACTCATTGTAATGCCCAGTTCAAAGAGTGCAGAGTGCTTAATGCAGAGGGATGAGGAAGAGGTGAGTGCGGGGGAGAAGAGGAGGCCCTGTAGGCACCGGGAGCCTCACTTCTCTCAGACCTGCAACCAGGCGAGACTCAGGAGCAGGGCAGCCGCAGAAAGGGACTTTGTGCTGGGAGCTAAGGTAAGTTTATTACGGCTCGGGGGCTGGATGCCTGGAGTCCTGGGCAGGCGGGCAGCGGCGCTGACGTCACCCGGGAGCCTGCTTCAAGGGAGGTCTTAAACGTTCCAAATGGGAGTTTGGCGGACGTGAGGCGACGTTTCTAAGGAAGGGAAGGGCTGAGGAAAAAGCGTGGAACACTGAGGCCGAAGAGCCCGCCACCGCGTGGAAAAGTCGGCCCCGCAGAGAATAGGAGGAGGCGAGAGGCCGAGGCCGAAGGCTTCCACCATGCCGGCCGGCGTCGCGCAGCGGAGCCAGGGAACCAGCCTGCACTGGCGACCGGACCCGGTTCCGGTGACCTGGCCCTCCCTGCGCCAACGTGGGGGCGGGGCGGAAACCGGCGTGAAGAAAGGCGCGGGGAGGCCTGAGACGCGCCTCCGTGAGGGCCGGGAACAGGGGCGGGTCACGGTGACAGGCCGGCCTCAGGGCTGTTACTCGACAGCCTGGCTCCGAGCATCAGTGAGGCGGCACGGGAACGGCGACCCTCAGGTTCCTGCAGAACCGCCTCTGCCGCGCCTTCCAAGAAAAGCAGCTGGGGGTCTTTACCCCTTAACCGGCTTCATTTCTTCTCAGCGCCTATCACCGCCTGACTGACGTCATGCAGTTGAAGTGGGGGCAGGGCAGGCGCGAGCTGTAGCCGTTGGCCGGTGCCGCGGGCCCCATCCCTCCCGCTTCTGTATAGAAGGAGCCTCAGCCGGGACTGAGGGGAAATGGCTTTCTGAGGTGCTGATCGGCTATCTATCTTCTCGGTGGGCTAGCTTTCCGATTAAAGTCGTTATTCCTTCTTCCAGCAACTCGTCTCGGGGCGTATTGGCCCTTCATGCGGGAGCAGAAGGAGCTTGGGCTCGGTAACGTCCTGTTCCTCTGGTCTGTGCACCTGCTTTGTTGGCCAGTTCTACACTGTTTTGATGACCGTTGCTTGGCAATACTGTCTGAAGTGAGTGTGAGATGCCTCCAGCCTGTTCTCCTTTGTGAGGATCACTTTGGTTATTTGGGGTCCTTTGTGTTTCCACACAAATATTAAGAGCATTTGCCCTATTTCTGTGAAAAATACCGTATTAGGCAGAGATTGCATTCACAGTGTACATTGCTTTGGGAAGAATGGACATTTTAAAAATACGAGTTCTTCCATTCCATGAGCATGGGCTATCTTTCCATTTATTTGTGTCTTCTTCATTTTCTTCATCAACGTCTGGAAGTGTTCAGTGTGCAGGTCTTTCAACTCCTTGGTTAAATGTATTCCTTGGTATTTTGTTCTTTTTGATGCTGTTGTCAATTGGATTGTTTACGTTCTCTTTCTGATGGTTTGTTTTTTGTGTTTAGAAGAGAAATTGATTTTTGTGTATTGATTTTGTAACTTTATTGAATTCATGTATTACACTAATGGTGTTTTGATGGAATGATGTAGAAAATTGGGAATCCTGAAAATCCCACTGTTTCTATCACATCCAGGTCATCCATAACATGGAAGACATAGTGGCACCTACTAGCATCTAACAGTGCCTTTCAATTCCTTGTGGGCTCATACAGGGGCGATTAGGTTCACCACTTTGTGTGAAGTGGATCTGGGTAACAAGGCTTGGCTTCTATAAGGAAGTATGACATTTTCTCTGCTTTTCTGGTGTGGGATTGACACGGTGTTTTGGAAAGTGAGTTACTATCCAGTAATTTCAAACATGCAGAAAACTTTCAAGAGCAGAACAAAGTCCTGTATATCTGCATGCTCAGATTTCCCAGCTGTCCTTGCTTTACTGCACTTGCCACTTCACACAAAATACTCCAGTGCATTTTACCCAAAACAGGGCCAC